CAGTATTGTTTTTCTTTTCCCTACCATTTTCTAGATTCCAAACATATCTTAAATTACTTGAACTGAAAAGGGGAAAATTTGCTTCGTTCTTTAGTGGCGACACTTCCATTGATTTATAAATAAATGTGAACTTGAGTTTTCTACATAATTAATTAATTCTGTGTCATTATAACCTCTCATAATCGTGTGCTAAAACTAAATGTTCTTTTCTTTCTTTCTAGGATTTGTTTGTTGCTGATGGAGAAGGGCTTCCCCGGTCATTAGTTACTGAGGAAGCAAAAGCTGTGCAACAAATAATAAGCTTGTTTTCCCTCCAGGTCCGGCATTTTAGAGTATTTGAATTCTTAAACCTACGGTAGAAGGTTCATGTTTTAGATTTTTGATATTTTTCCTTCAATGGTGTAGGCTGACTCTGTGATTAGAATGCTGATGACTTCTAGTCGACATATGACAGCAGGACATGATGTACATCAAAATGATTTTAGGAACATCGGAGATGCACAGACTTTAATGCGTGTTTTATGTCACATGAAAGATGCAGGGGCGTCGAAGTTCTTGAAGATGCATTATAACCTTCCCGCGTCTTCGGGTACGATTTAATATCCCCTTACTTTCATTGATCTCTTTCTGATCACGGGATGATGTTATTCGTCTCGCTGTCGTGCCAGATTTAAGCAATTTGGTTACTATGTTTGCTATGCCGTCAAAGTTGATTTATAGTTTTATATGTTGAGTTAAATGGAAAAATTTTATCAGTCGAGGACTTGAAAGATAGGCCAATCCGGACTTAAGGATTCCCTCAATTCATATTTAACCATTATCATTTTTGTGATACATCAAAAGTTGAATGAATATGGATATCATGTTTACACCCATTCAACTTTTGATGTATCACAAAAGTCATAGTGATCAATTAAATATGAATGGATGGAGTGAAATATATCAACTATAGACTTTTAGCGTTATCACTTATTTAACATAATATTGATGGAATTAGATATGGTGTTAAGACTTTTGAGTCATGCCCGATTTTAATAGTGTAAGCTTTTGGGTCTTCGGATTGAAAGAATCTAAATTTTCATGCCTTCATCAACCAAATTGTAAAATACCCCTCCACATTTAGTTGTCCATTTTCCTATTTTCGTTGGTATGGAGTTAACTGTCCACATTCCATATTCAACGAACAAAATTACGGCGATTTATCTAAAATATCCTAGAGATGCTATATTATGATCATTGTTGACATGAATATGAGCAACAAACTCGTTCATCATTTTAAACTCGTTTCTTCAAAACGAGATTTATTAAAAAGTAGTCAACTAAATCCGGACAAAGTAATAGTTGACAAGTACAAGTGGTCCCCTTGTCACTCCAAGCTGCTGAACTGAAATAGTTATTCTTCTTGTTGAGAGCAGAGTACGAGGAAAACGCACGAGAGGAGTCCGTTTCTGGTTCCCCTCTGATAGCTGATCTTATAAAGCGAAGCGCTTCGCTTCGCTTGTCTGACAGAGGCAGCAGCAGCTTCAGATCTATAAAGAAAAAGTTTCACGAAGCCACGTCCGATCTCAGGCATGTTGCTTGGTAACAAAGACAATTTCTTTCAGTCTCTATGAATTTTTGATACAGCACAAGGGAGAGCCACACCCTAAAAGCTAGCTGTTAAGGTGGGAGAACCCTTGGCTATATAAACCATCACCAAGTTCCCCATTTAACCGGTGTGGGACAATGAAATCAGTCCGTATCATTCGACCCCCCATAAGGCCCAACGTCCTCGTTGGTCACGGCTACGTTGGTCACGACTGGTTTCACTCAGAGCCAACCTCGGAGTGGTGGCCCACGGAGTGGTGGCCTGGAGAGAGCCAGCCGTGACCAACGTGGCCGTGACCAACGAGGACGTTGGTCCTTAAGGAGGGGCGAATGTTATGGACCGAAACCATCGGTTGTATGGGCAATTGATGTGGGGTTTATAGGCCAAATGGGTTCCCTCACCTATCAGACTAGTCTTTTTGGGTTGAGTTCTTCCGTTTGGTTTGTAACAATTTTATACATACATACATACATACATACATACATATATGTATGTATGTATGTATGTATGTTATATATATTTGTACTCTTTGAATGCTCTATCCCCTGATTGAAGTTTACACACATTGCTATAGTTTTTTGCTGTACAGCCAAAAACTTGTTTAAGTGCATCTGAATTGTTACCTAAAAATCATTCATTAACATTGTACCAAGACAAATAACATTGATTAACATTGTTACCCTAATGATAGTTTATGTGTTCTTATGTTTCTCGAACATGTTTTTGGGCAATGCTTTGGTAAATCTACCACATTCTTACGTATTTTAATTTATTTCACTTGAATTTCGGGAAGAATCGGTATCTTAATCCGTGCGATGCTGAATTTCGAAAAGAATTTGTTGCTGATTTTAGAAAATCACTTTATGTTTCCTTCATCCCAACATGAAGTTTACTCACTCTTTTTCATATTATGAAAAATTGTACTCCGTAAAGTATATTACTAGTACTTCGTACAAAAATGATTTTATTTGATTTATCTTTGGAATTTTTAAAATTTAATTTCATTGTATAAATATACAATATAAACGGAAAGTAATTGATTATTAAACTTCGTCTAATTTGACCTAAAAGAATAAAATGACAAATGCACTAGGAGTCTAGGACAAAGGAGGGTATAAATCATAGAAATCACCCTAAATAACACTAAAATATAGAAAAAAGTACCAGAATAAGACTTTCATGTTTTTTTTTGAAATAAGACTTCACATTGTGGTAATGTGGTTGTAATTTGACACATTACTATACTTTTTGGTAATGTACATGACCATGTTTGGTAATGTAAATGCATTTTTAGTGTTATTTCAAGAATAAAAACATGAACGTTCATTTTGGTATATTTTTAATGTTTTAGTCCTACTTTAGTCTTTCTCACTATAAATCACAAAGAAAGTTTGTTTAGGCAAACAACACCAATAAAGTGAAGAAAACGACATGCAATGACGTTTTTTCCTAAACTGCACTTTGTAATTTTAAATAGGTATACAATTTCTGTATATAGTATTTGTCTAGTTTTAACATTTTAACAATCCAAATTAAATAACTTAAATTATGAATTAAATAAAATTCATAATAGCTATTGATACAACAATAATTTTATTACATTTAATTTGTAAAGTATTTTCAAAATATATTTCTTTATCTAATTAATATAACATGTGATTTTTTTTAATTATAGGTCAAAATTTAATCTGGGCTGATTATAAAAATTAAAATTGAACAAGTACTCATAGATAGGGAGAGCATTTTATAAAGGAAACTTTGTATAAATTTTAACCATATACTTTGATAAAATTTTATAAACTTTATAAAATTTCTCTTGCTTCTAACTAAATTTTAACCATACTTTTTTACGAAGTGATATTTTTTACCTTTCATAAAATTTAAATTAGATAATTCTTTTTATAGAACATATGAAGTATTCATAATATAAATAATAATTTCATTTATTAATTTATTAATCTATATATTGGATTGAAAGATAATACTCGTAGCTCAATGGGTATTTTAGATTCAATTGGAGAGTGACAATAGTACTATCCTTATTGTTATTTGGAAAACCTCTTATCATTATTTTCATAATTACATAATTATACATGATTATTTTTTATTTAATACTCCGTAAATGACATCCTTGTTTGTAGATTTTTTTTATATATTTACCTCGGTGCGCCAATGCTGACCGTACCAGCTAGGAGCATTGAAATAAACATAGACCTGACAAAAACTGATCTGATTTATTTTTGACCAAAGACCCGATCCAAAAATATTGTATTTTAAACAAAAGTTTTGTTGACTGAACCTAAAGATGACCGAGCTCGAAATGATCTGGTGAATAAGAAAACTAACGGAGCATTTGACGGAAGGACAAAAAAATCACCCATTAGTAAATTTTAGAAAAATTGGAGGTACTCGATAGTATGTTTTCAAAATTGGAGGTACCCAACAGTTTTTATCACAAAACTTAGGGTAGCCAATAACAATTTTTTGTATTTAATTGTTTATACTATTCATAATATTATTAAGTATACTTGAATAGTGCTTCACAATTCAAAATAAAGTATTCTACTCACAATATTATTAAGTATACTTGAATAGTGCTTCAAAATTCAAAATAAAGTATTCTACTCTCTAATAGGTTTAATATATGTATCTTGATATTTTATACGTAGTAATTTTTAGTGTAAATTTAAGTGCTAGTATAAATTTAAATATATTTAAAACTAAGAAAATTGTTGAAAAGTGGAAAACTATGTGGAAATAATTTTTTTTAGAGAGAAATATTACTAGAAACTCATTGATTTTTAGTTTTTTAGAAATAAAAAAAGTACCGTAAAATATTCATTTTTGGATAGATGAAAACAAAGTAAAAATTTTATTCGAATTTGGGGATAAAGGGAGTAATGAGTATATCAATTGTGAGAGTACACATTATATACACATATATACTCCTTACCTACCTCAATAATATTCCATAATTTTTTTTGTTTGTTAACATATTGGTTTCACTTTTTCCTTTTTAAAAAGTTTTTGTGGCGATTATTATCTCTTTTCTTTACCCACATTCAAATCAACAAAGAAATTCGTGATTTTACGATAATATTCTGAAATTGAATAATTGACACCACTCCTTCAAGAAATCACTCAAATTTATACCAATACTTCAAACAGTCAACTAAATTGAATATGCGACATTTTAAATGGTGACTAGACAATTATTAAGTATGAGTTGATAATTGATTACAAAAAATAAGAAAACACTCCTTCCATGTCGATTTAAAATAAAAATATGTTAAAATTTAAAAAAATTAGGTGTTTATATTTTAATAGGATAAATTATGAAAAGTGATTCTGATAAAAAATTAGAGAATTTTAAAGTTGGTATAGTGCTGAATTTATATTTTAAAGTTTTTTCCAAGGAATATAAATTTAATTATGAAATATCTATTTCAAAATTATTTACTCCCTCCGCTCTATAATGTTCTTCCTGGTTCTGTTTATGAAGTTTGACCGACTTTATTTTCAATTCAATTTGTTTGATTGTAGGTATAAAATTTTTTTAAAAAAATTATATATTTAAAAACTACATCAAAAATTTTACAAAATAAGTGGTGACAAGACTATATTATTCTATCAAATACCTAATGAAAATAGGTAAAGAAAGTGAGTAAAGTTTGACCGTGTGAAAAATTAGTGGGAAGAACATTTTAGGACGGTGGGACTAATTTTTATCAATCTGTAGTTACCAACCAATACTTAATAATTTACAGTCACAATTTAAATTTCTACGTATTCTACTTAGTTGGAAGTCTGGAATATTGGTATAAAATTGAGCAATTTCTGGAAGCAGTGGTGTAAATTATTTAATTTTAAAATATTAATGTAAAATAAAAAATTTCTTGGAGTATTCATGTGAATTTTTCCTATCGAAAATGGACTAAGGTTACGTTTCATTCGTCTGATCTGATATGAATTGATTTGGTCTGATCTAATTCCAGTTAAAATTACAAGAGTTTCTGATAAACAAAAAAAGTTAGAAAACCATCTCTAACTCCCGACTGGGGAGTTACTCAAAATGTTGTACTTTTTTTAATCTCTATACGTGATCAAGTGTGAAACATTATTGCAAAGAGTAACAAAGAAAGTACTCCCTAGTAAAATACTTCATCCGTCTTTAAATAAACTTCCTATTTTGTTTTTTCTTTGTCCACGAATAAATTTCTCTTTTCCGTTAAAAAACTCTTTTTACCCCTTACTTTTTCATACCCTATCTATCACATCATACCTTTTTACTAATAATCTACGTATCACATCTTACTTTTACACATCACATCAAGGGTATTTTTGGGAAGTCAACACAAAAATATCCCTCCCTTAAATCCTCAAAAAGTCAAAAACGGAAGTTTATTTAGGGACGGAGGGAACATATAACAGTAACAGTGCTGCATTGATGTTATTTATTGGATTAAAAAAAATACTTATGGGAGTACATTTTTTTTTGGAATAATGGTGTAATTTTTTTTCATTTAAATTTCAAAATAATTTCTAGGGTCTTCACAATATTCTGATAATTTCACAATTCACCGTTCTCCACCACCTCAGGTATTTCTCTTTACTACGCGCCATCTTCATCCCCTTCTCTAGCTGCCTGCCTTATCCAATGTTCTCTAAGCACAAATTAATGTCTCGTTTCAATTATCAGACGCCTTTACTAATTCTATTAACTTCAGATTAATATTTACTCTGCTATATTTTTATATACTCCGCATATGTATTTTCTTCAATTTCGCTATATTCTATAGTTTTTTTTACAACATCCTGATTCAATTAGGAGTATTTAATTATCTATTACATTAGATTAGAAAATCTTCGTTTTTTTTTCAGATTTTTATTCTTTTCTTGCTTGCTCAAGAGAAGTTTGTGCAGAAATGCTGGATTCCTGTTGTGAAAAAAGTGAGTATTTATTTTAAAAAAAGATGAGCCTCATCCCCGAGGCCCCCTCAGACCTGGCCGGAAGAGGGAGTAAATTGGACTTTAATTGTAGATTGGTGGCATGGAGCATGCACCTGGCAATTAATTGCTGGCAATTGCCAGGAATCGAACTCGAGTCTGCTCCCAGAGCACTCCTGTCTCTGCCAATTGCGCAATGCCCACCGGCAAAAAGTGAGCATTTCTGGTTAAAATAAAGGATGAACCCTATCCTTAGAGAGTCTACATTCACCTCTCTCACAATTTGTTCACTCAATTGTACCTAGAAAATTGGCACAACGCCCAATAGGTTTCAAACCATCTCATAATTATTGGCTCTGAATTAGCTCTACATATTCTAGCAGGATAGTTAGTACCAATTTGAGTCCCATTTGGGGAGCTATCAAAACATCCCCATTTGGGAGTGTTGTGATACCGGGAGATGTCAAATCGAAACCTTGTTTAGGCTTCACCAAAGATCTGCAAATGGGTTCTCATGCCGGGAGCTATGAGAACCCATATCTCCTCAGCTCAGCAAACAAGCCGTTGGTGTTTCCATGTTTCCGACCCCATCCCCGTATAAGTACTCATCCCCGTCTCCATGAAACTAAACTTTAAAGTCTATATCTAATACTTTGGTTTGAAATGTAGGCTGCAAAGGCGGAACATTCCACTGTTAAAGGGAGTAACCCTACCATTCCTGAAGCTATGCCTTCTTTATATGCAACAAGGGCAATTCAGCTCTTTGGCGATTCATTGTCACTGAGAAATCTTTCTTGGCGGCTAAGTAGAGGATCTCCACTCAATGACAGGGTGAGGTTTTTAAGTGACTGTGGTCCTCTTACCCTAGCTAGTCTTGGGCTGAAGAATGGAGTTGAAGGCAGGAAAGTCAAAACTAAGCTTGTGCAAAAGAGTGTTTCCATAACTGAAGTCCCTAAGGGTATGTTTGGATTACCGAAAATGATAGGGAAAGGAAAAGAATTGCTAAGAAATGTTAATTTCAACGTATGGTTTTATCCTGGCAAATGCGATGAAAAGCTATATACGGGTTGTCTTTTTGAACGTTTACATAAATTTAGAGCCTCTTTCATAAGCATTATCTGGTTGAAAATATCAAATTTGCTGAATTTTCTGAAAAGGGAAGTGTTTGGTATAATCGATTTCTGGCAAAAGGTTAAGTCAAATGCTACTTAATCTATTGGTTATAAGAATAAGATGAATAATGCAACCAAATATGGCCTAAGTTTCCTAAGCCTCCACTCCCTCTGTCCCAAAATAAGGTTTGTCTTTACTCATTTTCAAGGATCATTTAATAAACTGAAATATTCAAGGCACCATTTGTTTTGTAGAAGTTTTGATGTTGTAAAATATATAATTTTCATTTTTTAATTCTAAATAGATTTTCAAATGTATAAGCAAGAACCTTATTTTGGGCGGAAAGGTATATATTAAGCATAAATAAATTAAATTGAGTATCAAGACATATATAAAAGCATTGAATTTTAGGCTTTCTTTTATTTTCCCTCACAGTTTCTTTTCTTCTAATTATTATATTGCTCATATTCTCCCCATAGTATTTTCTGGAGTGCCAAGAGACCCTAAGGGTACTTTAAAGAAAAAGATAAACAGTGGAAGAAGCATTGGATTGAAAGATACAAAGTCCATAGACACAGGGGAAGCAGCAGCACCCTTTGCTGCAAAGTCTTTCTCTGACCTTGGCCTTCCACCATTACTAATCGAGAGACTCGAGAAGGAAGGGTTCAAAGATCCAACAGATGTTCAGGCTGCTGCGGTTCCAACAATTTTGGAAAATCACGACGTCGTGATTCAGTCCTACACTGGGTCAGGAAAAACATTGGCTTATCTTCTTCCAATACTCTCCAATGTCTTTTTCCCCATCAATGGTGAAAAAGCCTCTTCAAGCAGAGCAGATATAAAAGCTGTGATTGTGGCTCCTTCAAGGGAACTTGGCATGCAGATTGTTAGGGAAGCCGAAAAGCTTTTGGGACCTGATAGGAAAATGGTTCAACAGCTTGTGGGTGGGGCGAACCGGTCGAGACAAGAAGAAGCACTCAAGAAAAACAAACCATCTGTGGTAATCGGCACTCCCGGGCGAATTGCAGAGATTAGTGCATCCGGAAAGCTCCACACGCACGGATGCCGTTACTTGGTCTTAGATGAAGTTGATGAGCTTCTTGCTTTCAATTTCCGGGAAGACATGCAACGGATATTGGATCACGTGGGGACCACAAAATCTGGTGCGGTTCGACCTATTTAATCATAAACAATTATCAAACACACATTTCCTTATGGTATCTTCTGTAGCTTGGCTATGTCTCTTTTTGTGAAGTTCTCTACAAAAACACGAATATTAGAATCGTATGACCAAATTGGACTTTTCATTTCGGACAAACGAAATTTTTAAAACACGACTTCGGCGATGGAGTATTATTATTAAAAGAAAAGTTTTACTTCTTAAATTTCTCATATGTAATGAGTGAGTGATACCTAGCAGTATATCATGACTATCCAACTAACAATGAATCAAGACTGCAAGGAACCTTTTCATTTGTATTTATGGGGTCAGCTTTATATCTCCCTTCCAACAATGATCATATAAATATAAAAGTCTAACTGATTTACAATTTACACTCTAGTGGTGCAGGACCCCATGGCTCAAGCAGTTTGCTTGTGAAGAACCATGCTTCCCGCCAGACGATCATGGTTTCTGCAACAGTGCCATTCTCGGTCATAAGAGCTGCTCGAAGCTGGGGACGGGACCCACTCCTCGTCCAAGCCAACAGTGTGCTTCCTCTTCACTCCATGCCTCTTGCATTGCAGCCTTCCAACTCACTGCAGGCTCCTCAGCCAGCAGCTGTGCTGACCCTACCTCCCAATCTAAACCATTACTATTGCGTCACGAGGATTCAACACAAAGTCGACATGCTGAGAAGGTGTGTTCATGCCCTGGAGGGTAAATCTGTCATTGCATTCATGAACCATACCAAGCAACTGAAAGACACTGTTCACAAACTTGAAGCTCGCGGCATGAAAGCTGCAGAACTGCATGGGGACCTCAGCAAGCTGGCGAGGTCGACCGTTTTGAAGAGCTTTAAAAGTGGAGATGTGAGGGTGTTGGTTACCAGTGAGCTCTCTGCAAGAGGTTTGGACGTGCCGGAATGCGACCTTGTTGTGAATCTGGAGTTACCGACCGATTCTGTCCATTATGCCCATAGAGCTGGCCGGGCGGGGAGGCTTGGACGGAGGGGTAATGTGGTCAATATATGCGAGGAACCCGAAGTCTTCGTTGTGAAAAAGCTTCAGAAGCAGCTCAGCATTGCCATTCAAAGTTGTGAGTTTGCTGAAGGAAAACTGGCCATTACTGAAGACTGATAATGGTAAGGTTATTGAGGTTAAATTTTTTTTTCTTTTTTTTTACTGCTGAGTTTGCAAGAGATTAGATAAAGACAATCAGGTGACCTTATTTTGCTGGAATATTTACTGCAGCAGTTAATCACTTTATTTTGGATATCTTATGGATTGCTTCCATGGCCAATAGAGCTAAAAGTTTTTTTTATTTATGAGAAATAATGTTTTAGCTTGGGGTGCATAATGGATTGAATTAAAGACATCAAAATAATCTTTCTTGATACTTACATTATATGAAGTTTGGGCAGTAAATGCACAAGGGCCTAATTGAAACAGCTTCATTGTATTTCAAAATACAGGGTAATATGCATAGATCCTAATATTTCAACGGGAGTCTTCGTCGCAGTGTATTAGTCTAGTGTGATTTTTCGTGTCAAACTTTACAAATTTTGAGTTTTAATTACCATCAATTTGTGATGCATATTAGTATAATGAAATAAAACTTTAAGAATTTCCAACCAGATAAATCATATAAAATCAATTTTATACTAATACGCGTTACAATATTGGTTTTATTGAACTTGAAAATTTTCCGTGTTTGACTCGAAAAAGTCAAACTCGAAAAATATATCGACATTAGAAATAAGTTTGATACATTAAGATGTCACTTGGGCTTAGATGACAAAGAAAGGGTGGTGAAAAAACAGTAATGTTTGGTTCTTCTTTGGGCAACGACGACGAAAAGCAATCATGAAGGGTTTATTTTGTCAAATTGAGACTATAATTTAATTTATCTTTTTCAGGTAATACATTAAGATGAGATGTCTCAAGATTTATATATGGCCCATTGTTATTTATTTATTTCATTGTTTGTTTACTTCGTACTTATTTATTTCGAGGTTTGACAAGTATTTTATGGGTTGGAGACTTCATTAATTTATAGCCATTGACCAGTAAAGGAATTGACTAATTCCAAAGACAAATTTTCCAAAACTAATTAATTTATGAATACGGGTCAAAAGCAGTTAAATATAAAAACACGTCGTTTTCATTAAAGAAAATCAACTCTAATCTTGTCATGCATTGGCTTAGGCTGCGTTCCATTCACATGATTTGATCTCATCTGATTTTTTGAACATCTAATCTGCTCTGATTGCAGTTATAATTAAAATTATTTTTGATATGATCTGATCTTATTATAATAAAAATAAGTAATAAGTAGAAAAAATAAATTGAACGGAATGCTGCCTTACCCTGCATTCAAAAGGTGTAAAATACTACTACGTATATTTTAATCGAGTTAATAGTCATAAAAAAGATAGAGATGGCATGTTAAACATCCATTCCTTTTGATGCATTTAAATGTTGGGCCCATTAAAATTAATATTTATTTTAATTTTTATAACGTCGAATTTGTAATATTTAATTTCAAAATATATAAATATTTTATTTAATTAAAATATTAAAATTGTAATATTTTATTTCAAAAATATTTAAACGGGTTGTGACTTGTGAGTGTTTGTTTTAAAAAAAAACTTACGGAGTACTTTGTATTTAAGATCGATGATGTGGAGATGAAATAGCAATGCTTGAGTAAATATATTTTACTCCGTAGTTTAAGTGGGTGACGATGCTATTATAGTCTCATAAAACATTTCAATTTTGTCTAAATGGACACTATTGTCTTTACTCTCTTTTAATTTAAACGAAGCTACTTCAACTACCTTCTACACTCTACTCATTTCGATAGTTCTAGAGCCCAACCTATTTCAACTGTCGTCATATCACCTTGATCAAACTTCTATATCTTTCCATTCCAAAAGTCAAAATTGGAAAAGTTTTCAGGGACGGAGGGAGTAATATTTTAATAACAAGAGATCCTTACCGCCCCCCTCAGGTCTTAGAGAGGAACCAACACTTTTTCATAGCATGCTTTGTGATATATGAGTACTTCTCTGATCTTCTACTCCTTCCGTTCCTTAAAATCATTCCTATTTTGACTTTGGGCCAAAATAAGGAAAATGCAATTTTGATTGACTTTCCAATTTTGCCCCTGATGTGATGAGTAAAAGTAAGATGTGATAGTTTGATTATTAGTGAAAAAGTATGATGTGATAGGTAGGGTATGAAAAAGTAGGGGTAAAAATTGTTTTTTAATAGAAAGTGGAAGTATTTTAGGGAATTGAAAATAAACAAAAGAGGAAGGGTTTTATGGAACGGATTGAGTAATTCAATGCGCTTATGGTCATTCCATTGTAGTCAAAATAGGCGTTGAAAAAATTAAAAATTTGTAGCTGACTTTTATGTTGAAGAAAAACGCAATACTAGTTTCTGTCTAAAAGAAAAATTAAATTAGTGTTTGCACATGTAAAATTAATTTGAACCAAATAAAGTTATTCAAAACATTAACGTTAAACTCTTTAAATGTAACATAATACATCATACAAACCATAAATCCTTGAAGAAACAGTCCTATATATCAAAAAAATATTATGGAGTAGACAAATAATAAATGTGCAGTGGATTGGAAAATATAATTTCAGCCAAATATTAAAAAAATCCCAAATGGTTGACTATTCTCCCGTAACACTATATACTACACTATATATATATGTCCACCAAGTTTGTCTATACAATTCAAGTCTAAGCAATTATTGCATTTACTACCAAAATGGATTATTATTATTATTCTTCAACCATCCTTCCGGTGTTCCTCCTCCTCCTCCTCCGCCATTTCACCGCCAGCTACGCCGCCAACTTTGAAGTGCGTAACAACTGCCCATACCCAGTATGGGCAGCTGCAACACCAGTGGGCGGGGGCCGCCGACTCGACCAGGGCCAGGCATGGTCGATCAACGTGCCCACGGGCACGGCCATGGCCCGCATTTGGGGCCGCACAAATTGCAACTTCGACGCGAGCGGGCGGGGCGGGTGCCAGACCGGCGACTGCGGGGGGTTGCTACAGTGCACGGGGTGGGGCAAGCCGCCGAACACCCTCGCCGAGTTCGCGCTCAACCAGTTCAACAACCTCGACTTCTTCGACATCTCGAACGTCGACGGTTTCAACATCCCCATGCAGTTCGGCCCCACGAACCCCGGGGCCGACAAGTGCCATGCAATTTCTTGCACGCCACCTGACCTGGTCGGGCAGTGTCCCGGCCAGCTCAAGGTCGACGGAGGGTGCAACAATCCTTGCACCGCGTTTGGGACCCCGGAATATTGTTGTACCAACAATATTTCATGTGGTCCCACAAACTATTCTAGGTTTTTTAAGGATAGGTGCCCAGATGCTTACAGTTACCCTAAAGATGATGCCACTAGCACCTTTGCTTGCCCTGCAGGAACAACTGATTATAGGGTTGTTTTCTGCCCCTAAAAATGATGTCATTATACGATACTGTATTTATATATATTTTTAAATAATGATTATTATGAGTTTCATGATAAATTAAAATTTAAATGAATATAGACATGGTCATCACGTCTATATTCATGTTAAAAATGTACCGGAGAAGAATTGGTTGTGCGTGTAATAATTTAGTTTATTACTACTATGGTTTGAAGCTAATTAGTAAGAAAAATAAAAGGCTTTGGATCTTGTTAAAAAAGTATGATTACCTTCATGAATTAATGGTGAAAAAACTCTGATCATATATGCACCAAAATAAATGGTGACAATATTATACTCCCTCCGTCCCTAAATATTTGTCACACTTGTATTCCCGAGATAAAATATCAAGTTTTTTCAATTCATTTTATTTACATATTGGTTTGGAAATAAAAAATAAAATTTACATATCAAAAAACTACATGAAAAGTTCTTCGAAATAAGAGGTGTCAAGAATATTTTATTTTATCAAATAACCAATGAAAACGTAGAAATAAACAAAAGTTTCCGCGACTACTGAAAAAGCTAATGTTGTAAATATTTTGGGACGGAGGGAGTACGATATTATCAAATAAATAATGAAAGTGTGTAAAGAACGTAGTTAAAATTTAACTATACGGATGTAGTACATCACAGAGATTGTTAGCCCAAATTTATTACTCCCTTCATCCAAAATTAATGTTTTCAATGTTTTCATTCTAATATTCTAATAAATTCTATTTTTTTGTGTATTTTATTGATTATATGATAAAAATATTCTTGATATATCTTGTTTCATAGAATTTTTAAATAAATTTTAAAGTATGTAATTTGTATATTTTATTTCTATAAATATTTTTGAATTTTTTAAAGAGATGAGATTTTAAACGTTCGATCTGAGATCAATATTTTTAAATAAAGGGAGTATCAAGCTTCATTTAAAAATTGGTGTTTAGGCAAAGATTAAATTTTCACTTACCTCCTTTGAGATAAATGGCCCGTTTGGTCCGAGAGGACTCTTAAGCCTTAGATATTAGTATTCACTTTGGTAGATAGATCATGGTCCAAACTTTTGCATTTAGCCAATTACATTAATTTATGTACAATTTATGGGGAAAAAAAATTATTTTGCTAGTTTTTTTTGTAACAAACGTCTTAGTCTTGGTAATCCTTCATTTGCAAAAATAAATACTGTTAAAAAAATTTATGCTGCAAATTGTTTTAAAGTGTGGTCAGAAATTTTTATCAAATATTTTTTTATAAATATTTTCGAAAAGTCTATTTTGTATATACTTATCTGCTTCATATTTAATACTCTATCCATCCCTTTTGAATCTTCTCCGTTTGACTTTTAAGGTCATTTTTTTAAAGAAAAAAAACTAAAATGAGAGTAAAATATTGATAATATACTAAAATAAGAGTCATGTTTTTATTTTTGAAATAAGAGTTAAAATGCATATACAGTGTTAATCATGACTATATATATACGTTACCAAAATGGGTTGTAAAATATTCATATACAATGTCATTTTACCACAATGCAAACCATATTTTGAGGATAAAAATATGAAACTCCTATTTTATAATTTTTTATATTTTACTCTTATTTAATTTGATTTCTTATTTTTAAAATTTTCAATATAAACTACAAAAAAATAAATTGAATTGTGATATTCCGTATAAATTTAATATCATTAATAAATTAATTTTGAAACATTGTTTTGAAAAATTATATTCTTATAATATATACTTTCTATATATTTATAAATTAAAATATGATAGTAAAAATGTTGCATTGAAGACCTTAAAAAATTAAATAAGAAGACTAAATAGAGACAATCAATTTTACGATCGGATAAGAATCTTACACCAATTTAATTGGTGTAAAATTACTCTCAAATCAACCAAATTAGGACTAAAACATAGTTATTATCCCTAAAATATGACTGACATGTTTTTATCTCCAAATTATTGGTTTGTATTGTGACAATGTATACTGACATTCGATAGTGTTGTTAGGTATTATATGTTGACATTATGACATTGTAACTTCAACTTTAGAATAAAAACATTGTTCTATTTTCGTACTTTCTTTATGTTTTAATTTACTCTTAATTTAATTTTTTCTATATGATATTATATAGAGTTGAAATATAGGATGAATTGGAAATAATATAGAATTAAAAATCATGGAAACTTTAATTTATTTGGTTTACTTCTCCCTCGGTTCCTCAATTATTTACACATTTCGCTATTAAAAAATCACATGAATTTTATTTATTTGTTTGTTTTCATTGATTATTTGATCAAACAAAATATTTTTCTCACATCTTATGCAAAAGTTTCGATGTATTTTTTAAATATATATGTTTTATTTTTTACTCCGTATTTACATATCAACCTTTAAATAGAATGAATTTAAAAAACCCGAGATTTTACTTCGTTTTGCGTAAAGTGTAAATTATTTAGGAACGGAAGGCGGGTTGTGAAGGGAGTGTTTTGGGACTTGAAACAATGTTATTGCGAAGGTGTGAAAAGAGAAGTAGAGTAAATAAATAAGGGAATGATAAATGAAGAACACCCAAGTTTGACTTATAGCGGTAGCAGAAGCCATTGGCTCTTGGTGCATCATTAAATTGAGATTAGTATGAACAGATATTACCTTGTAATATAGTCTATATCATTAAAAAAAATAAGGGAATGATGGGGAACGGCATTACTTTCTCTCTTCTCAAAGGAAGTTGGCTACTTCTTTTGTTACTGATCCTAGTACAACAGACACTAATATACTATCCTAGTATTAGTATATTATATAGTATAGTACTATTTCTTCACTGCAGATGTTCAAAACAACATTGAAGAAAAAAACACTTTGTTTGATACAACAACATTAGCAAGGCTGTACCTTTCAATGGGAGGGGGAGTCAAAATTCAGCCTTAGCCCTCCTTCCGCGGGCGTTTCGCCGGCGGTGCAGATTGGGATGTCATGTCATCGCTAAACAGAGGGTCCCGGCGGGGCCCACGGCACTGCAGGAAGTCCTCCACTGGTATTGCCCCGGTGAGCGTTTTGAATGCGAATTCCAAGCACGGGTCTGGCCAACCGTCCCCGAATGGGAACACGGGTGCGGAATCTTCCGATTTTGGGTTCCGGCTCTTTGCTTCCGGATCGGCTTTGTTCGTCTTGGTTACACTAGAACTCGTTCTCAAGTTCCGGTTCTCTGTCTCCGGTTCGGCCCCGGTAAGCGTTTTGAATGCGAATTCCAAACACGGGTCTGACCAACAGTCCCCGAACGGATACCTGGGTCCCGAACCTTCCATTTTGGGATTCAGGCCCTCTACTTCCAGTTCGGCTTTGTTTGTCTTGGCTACACTAGAACTCAATCTCGAGTTCCGGTTCTCTGCTTCTGGTTTGGCTTCAATTGTCTTGGCCACAGTTGGATGCAATCTCGGGTCTTCTTCCGGTTTGGCTTCATTTGTCTTGGCCACACTTGGAAGCAATCTCGGGTTCCGATCCCCTGTTTCTGGTTTGGCTTCATTTGTCTTGGCCACACTTGGATGCAATCTCGGGTTCCGGTTCTCTGTTTCTTGTTTGGCTTCATTTGTCTTGGCAACACTAGGACTCAATCTCGGGTACCGGCTCTCTGCTTTCAGTTCGGCTTCATTTGTCTTGGCCACAGTAGAACTTGATCTCGGGTTTCGGTTCTCTATTTTTAGTTTGGCTTCATTTGTCTTGGCCAAACTTGGATGCAATCT